AAATACAACCCAGTATGCTTAATCATACCAGATTGGGTAAGTTTTGAAGACATTGAAAAAGGCTAAGGATAGCTTCTACTTCATGTTCTTTAAGAAGTATGTATATGGATTTAAAAATATTGTTCTTTATTTCTGTACTAGGGGAAGAAATACAACGAGCTCTAGAAAGAAGCTCCAGATGAGTGTCCTGGCTGTGGCTGGTGGGTTGGCAGAGGGAAGGGGAAAATAGAGGGAGGCAAGCCATGTTTCTTTCCTTCTGCTTAGCTATAAGGCAGGGCTGTCTCAAGTCCTTTTGCTGCCCCAAGTGGGTAGTATAGGAGGACAGCCTCATGGTAACAGGTATGGTTCCCTCCACCTCTGACTTATTTTTTTTGGGGGGAGGGGGGTGTTGTGCAGTGGCAGCTAAGGTAGAAAAGCACCTCCTCTTGTGCCATGTTTTCTGGGTTTCAAGGGTCTTGTCAGGTTCAATAGCAAGTAAATCTCCACACACGTTTCCAGGGAAGCGTTATGCTTTATTAGACTACAAGTCTGTTACCATGTCCACAAGATTATTGTTAGGAATGACCATGGGGCAGAAACATCCCTACATATAGCAGGATGAGGCAAATGGCTAAGCAAATGAAATCCGAGCACGTGGGCGGGAATTCTCTTGGCAGGAGGTTACATAATAAGCAGGAGAGTCTCAGAGCCCCATGAGAGGCAAGCCCTCCCCCCGTCACAAGGTCAGACAGATAACTCAGTCTGGCAGCACTGGTTCTCACGGTCTCCCTATCGCTGTTTACGGCAAGTGGCAGAGCAGCGAGCAAGCTATGAGGCATGCGCAGTAGCACCAGGATCAGAGAAGGGAACAAGCAAAACATGGCAGCTAGCTGACAGGTCTGGAAAGTGGTTCCATAGCCAATTACACGTCTGCCAACTCTGGGTTGGGAAATACCTGTAGATTTGAGGGGTAGAAACTGGGGAGGGCAGGGTTTGGGGTGTGGAGGGACCTCAACAGGGCATAATTCCATAGAGTCTACTGCGCAAAGCAGCCATTGTCTCCAGGAGAACTGATCTTGGTTATCTGGACATCAGTTTTAATAGCTGGAGATCTCCAAGTGTGTCCTGGAGGTTGGTTTATGTTAATTTGGGACTATGCAATGGCAGTTAAAGTAGAAAAGCACCTCCCCCTATGCCATGTTTTCTGGGTTCCAACAGTCTGGAAAGTGGTACCATAGACGATTACACGGTTGCCAACTCTGGGTTGGGAAATACCTGTAGATTTGAGGGGTAGAGCCTGGGGAGGGCAGGGTTTGGTGTGCGGAGGGACTTCAGCAGGGTATAATGCCATAGAGTCCACTGCCCAAAGCAGCCATTGTCTCCAGGAGAACTGATCTTGGTCATCTGGAGATCACTTGTAATAGCTGGAAAATTTTCTGTAGGGA